TCGAAACGTCGAAGAATGTCGACGAAGAAATGATTGGCCAAAATGGAAAGAAACAATATGGGCAGAGCTAAATTCATTAACTAAATGAGAAGTATTTGGACCAGTCATCCAAACATCCGAGGGTGTTGAGCCTGTTGGATTTAAATGGGAATTTGTACGCAAATGTAATGAGAAAAATAAAATTGTGAGATACGAAGCACGATTGGTAGCTCAGAGTTTCTCATAGAGATCTGGTATTGATTATGATTAAACATACTCTCCGGTAATAGATGCAAACACTTTTAGATTCATAATACATTTGGTAGTCACAGAAAAATTGCTTATGCATTTAATGGACGTGGTAACGGCATACTTATATAGATCACTAGATAATGATATTTACATGAAGCTTTCTGATGGTTTCAAAATGTTAGAAACAAAACCACGTAGTATGTACTCAATAAAATTACAACGATCTTTGTATGGATTGAAGCAATTTGGGCGCATGTGGTACAATCTCCTTAGTGAGTACTTAATAAAAGAAGGGTATGTGAATAGTCATCTTTGTCCATGCATTTTAATTAAGAAAACAGAATCTGGTTTTACTATTGTTGCAGTATATGTTGATGATTTGAATCTGGTGGGAACCTTTAAAGAACTCTTAAAAATTGCCACTTATTTAAAGAAAGAATTTAAGATGAAAAATCTCGGAAAGACAACTTTTTGTCTGGGACTGCAAATTGAACATTTATCAAGAGGAACCCACATCCACCTGTCAACATATATAGAGAAGGTTTTGAAGCATTTTTATATGGATAAAGGCCATCCCTTAAGCTCACAAATGGTTGTCCGATCACTTGAAGTTAAGAAAGATCCTTTTCGACCTCTAGAAAATGATGAGAAACTCCTTGGTCCTGAAGTACCATATCTTAGTGTAATTGGTGCTCTTATGGATCTTGCAAATTATACACCAGTCAACTTAATAGTAAGATACAGTTCTACACCAACTCGTAGACATTGGAATGAAGTTAAACACATATTGTGATATTTTCATGGAATAATTGATATGGGATTGTTTTATTCAAAAGAATAAAAAATCCCAATTAATTGGATATGCAGATGCTGGTTATCTCTCTGACCCACATCAAGCTCAATCACAAACAGGGTATATGTTTACTTGTGGTGACACTGCTATCTCATGGCGCTCTATAAAGTAGACAATGATTGCCACTTCTTCAAATCATTCTGAGATACTAGCAATTCATTAGGCCAGCAGGAAATCCATTTGGTTGTGATCCATAATCCAACACATTAGAACAACATGTGACCTCTCATCAATAACAGATAGCCTCACAATATTATATGAAGATAACGTTACATGCATTGGACAGATGACAAAGGGTTATATCAAAAGTGATAGGACGAAACATCTCACCAAATTTCTTTTACGCATATGAACGCCAAAAGAATAGTGAAATTGATATTAAGCAAATAAGTTTATGTGAAAATTTAGCAGACCTGTTCACTAAGGCACTGCCAACCACGACGTTCAAAAAATTGGTACACAATATTGGGATGCGACAACTTAAAGATCTTTGGCATTAATGAGGGGGAGTACTTAATTGAAATGGTATTGACATATACTGCATGTACTCTTTTTCCATCGCAAAGTTTTTATCCCGTTGGGTTTTCCTAGCAAGGTTTTAATGAGGTAGTTCTAACCTATGCATTACTCTTTTTTGACACACAAGAATAATGTACTATTTTTCCTTCATTAAATTTTTATCCCACTGGATTTTTCTTAGTAAGGTTTTAACGAGACATATTCTTAGTGTTGTATAGTGGATCTCAAGGGGGAGTATTGTAGAAGTGGGCTCCACTATATTTGATTCATATAAGTGCAAGTTGGAAATGCAGAGATAAATGTGAGGCGGTGATTGCTGATGTGGAAGAATTGTGTTGGTCTACTTATGTGTGTCCATGCAGGGGCGGAGCCAATTAAGGCCCAGAGGAGGCACGTGCCCCTCCTCACTTTGCTCCAACTTACTATACATGGATACATATTTTTGGTATATATATATACTTACATGGTAATTTTAAATAGTGCCCCCCCTCAAAATTTTAAATTCTTTTAATTTCCTTTTGAAAAAAAAAAAAAAAAAAATTACATATATCCCTTCTTTGAATATACAATATATTTTTCCTTTTCTAATTTTTGTTTCCTTTTTCAAAAAATTTCTTTTTTCACTTATGTTTAATTATGTATTTTTCTATTTTTTAAAACTTATTTCTTTTTATCAATGACATTTATGATTGTATTTAATTAAAATATTATTAATTAATATTTTGATTCTTATATTTGTAACTATATTTTTTTTACGGTATTTATTTAATATATTATTTTACAACTATTTTTTTCTTATTTGCTTTTTGGATTTAAAAAAATTATATTGTCATATTTATTAAAAAAAAAAAAAATTAACAAGTGTATTGTGCTCCCTCTGAAATAAAATTCTGACTCCGCCCCTGTGTCCATGCCATTAGCTCAATGATGTATATGCCATGCAATTGATTGGTTACTAAGCAGTTATAGGCGATGACTATTGACTTTATATATATATGTGTGTGTGTGTGGTTGAGGGTCATGTAGAGTGTAACTTTCAGCTTGTGAATAAATAAAGTTCTCTCTTCTGGTATCTTTTCTTATATTCACAACAACAAGAAGATTAATTAATGAGATAAAAATAATAAGAAATGTGATATTTTGTAAGAAGATTAATGTAATTGACTAAAGAGTAAATAATATGTACGATTAAAAATACTAAAAATTTCTTATGTTTGAGAAAATACAAAGGCATTATATTTAGTTTAAATTTTTTTAATATATTTTTTTATGTTTTGAAAATGAGTAATCCTTTATCTTGTGATCTTTGATGCTTTAAGGTTGCAGGATAAATCTCATATATGCGTAATCAACTGTAAATTATATATATAATTTAAACTCTAATATTTTTTCACTTTGTGAAAATGAAATTCAAAATGTTTGAGTCTATCATTCGCCTTAAAAAGACTCGTTAGACTCAAGTCACTCAACCTAAGATGAGAGAACAAAAAAGTTATATTCACACTTACAAAATATTCCACTTAACCTCTATATCACACTAGAAAATATTCCACTTAATCTCTCCCCTAGAATATAAAAGGATAGTAATAGTATTTCAGTTTTGAAATGTGCTAACACATTTTGGTTCTTACAAGGGAAAACTATACTTAAGTAGACTTAGGAGCCCTAAATAACAAATCAATCTATTTTAAAAGTTAATTTTTTAATTTGACTGAGTTAAGCAAAATAATTACATATGTATTGAAAATTATTATTTAGGTCCAAAATATCCTCCAAATTCTTATTTTAAAATACCAAATTATCCTTCATAAATCAATATTTGTTTCAATCAAAAAATTTAAAAAAAAAAAAAAAAAACAAGATTTTCTAGTTAAGTTTCAACTTGGAGGCATTTTTGCATGTGATATATATATTACCAAAAATAAATAAAATAGAAAAAAACCTATATATATTTATATAGAAAAAATTTTGTGCATTTAACAACAGTATCTCCTAATCTATATCGGTTCAAACTTATAATGTCTATTTAGAAATGTACAAATAATTTAGTAAAAATTCATTATATATATAGATTTTTTTTTCTCGGTAAGTGAAAATTCATTATATATATATATATATATATATATAAATTTTTCTGTGCACATAACTTTAACCATATTTCCTAATTCATACCAATAAATTACTAATTAAAATCAAAAAATTATCTCTAACCCCTCAACTTTAAAATCATTTTCAAATTGGTTTATATAATTATAACATTTTTAATCCTCGAATGAAGGAAACCAGCTGAGAAGATCCAAATCATTTTTATTTTTTTTTTTAAATTATTATTATTATATTTTTTTCTTCCTTTCCGTGTATATATAGTAGGTATGGGTAAATAATTCGTGAATCTAATACGGTTCGATTCGTGCAGATTGAATCGGATTACTACATCCATGGATCAGTGACGGCTTTAAAAAAAATCGTAATTCACGAATCTGATTACGAATTGAGTTGTTAAAAATCCGATCCGATCCAATACGATCCATGAAATATATATATATATATATATATATATATATATAATATTAATTATTTAATGATAATTTAATGAATTCTAAGGATGTATTAGTTAATAATTCTTTAAATATATGAATTAATATAAATAAATTAAAATGTTATGATATTGTTAAAACTTAAAAGACAAATAAATAATAAATAATATTAATTATAAAAATAAAAAATAATGATAATACTCACTCTGTCCCAAAATAAATGTCATACTTTCTTTTTTTATCTGTCCCAAAATAATAGTTCATTTTCCTTTTTCAAATAATATATTTGCACATCTTTCCATATTATATCCTTTGAGTTTAAAATTTTAAACTTGACTATTCAAAATTTAAAAAGGCAAGTTAGTAATTTTCTAGACCATGTCCCACATCTCCTCTTAAAAATTACTACTCTCCATAAGTGATATTTAAATTGAGACGGAGGAAGTAATAATGAATCATTTAGATAAAACTTAAATTGAGACGGAGGGAGAATCATTTATATAAAATCTAATCAATTCTATCGATTTGTTATTATCAGCGGGATAACGAATGGGTGGCGGATTAAGATTTGTCTAAACCGTTAGGAGTAAATTGGATTAAGACGGATCGGTGATGGAGTAAAATTTGTCTAATCCATTATAAATGAATTGGATTAAGATTAAAGCGACCACAATAGTATCGGAAATACGCGTGTGCTACCCGTGATATTTCCACTGTTATCCTACAGACGAGAAAATATTAAATACGGTATGTAACGGGATTTGGACAATTTAACAACTGTCAGTCACATGACCCACAAGACGATGACTCACTGGCTAGGCTACCAAAATTAATATACTGCCATTTCCACACCAACCCCTCTCTCTAGCTAGCTTAGCTAGCACATTCTCGCTCTAAAAACCCGCTCTTGACTTTCTCTCATCGGCAATTCAACAACAGCGGAGACGGAGAGGTAAGACAGCGAGACGTTGTAGTAGTATATGAATATAATATAAATAAGATCACTTCTTTCTCAGTGAGACAGTGACTGCTTGTAGTTGGAAGAAGAAGTTCTAGAGAGAGAGAGAAATGAGTTTCAGAGACGAAAATGAAGATGGGAGGGATCTTAAAAAACCTTTTCTTCACACGGGTAGTTGGTACCGAATGGGTTCCAGGCAGTCCAGTGTGATGGGCTCCTCTCAGGTCATTCGTGAAAGCTCAATCTCTGTTCTCGCTTGTGTTCTAATCGTCGCATTGGGTCCTATCCAGTTCGGTTTCACTGTAAGATCTTTCTTCTTTCAATCTTTCAATCTTTCTTAGGTTGCCAATAAACTCAGAAAAAACCCATAAATCAGAAACCCATAAATTCAATTGATCGAAAATCAGAAACCCATAACTTCACTTGTCATAAACAAACATTAGTTCTTCGATTCTAATGAAACTAAGGCTCCATTTGGATTGAACGAATTGAAATGAATGGATTTGTGTTCATAAATTTAGAGTGAGTAATTGCGTTTTGAGTTTTAACAAAGATTTGGAAGGCTTGTATTGTGTGTGTGGATTTCGAATAACAGGATGGAAGTAGTAATTTGAAATTCATGCCGGTCTAATACCCTTTTGGGTTTTGGGATCCAACTTCAATAAACAATATTTTGTTTAAGGTCAAAACCATTCATATATCCTAATGGAGCCTAAAAGTTGAGGGAAAATGACATACTTGAAATTTTCAATTTTCATTATTTTATTAGCAGCCAAACAGATCCTTGTATATTTCTCGATGTTCTGTATTGCAATTATATGTTTCTTGATAATCTCTAGCTGCCTTATATTTTTATATTTGTGTAATGAATAATTTTGACCTTCTTTCCAGTGTGGGTATTCTTCACAAACGCAATCTGCTATCACAGAGGACCTTGCACTTACGGTATCTGAGGTATGAAATGAATCTTGTTGCCTTGATTTCATATGGCTTTGATTCGGTACTATTTCTAACTCAAACTGTGGGATCAGTTCTCTTTATTCGGTTCTTTAGCAAATGTGGGTGCAATGGTTGGTGCCATAGCTAGTGGTCAGATTGCTGAGTATATTGGGCGGAAAGGGGTAAGAGTGTTTCATTGATTCATTTTTCTCACTAGGTTTCCGCTTGTTTTAATTTGCACAAGTAAGCTCTACTTTATTCTCTTATGCTGCAGTCTTTGATGATCGCAGCCATTCCTAACATAATTGGTTGGCTTGCTGTATCATTTTCAAGAGTGAGTTCTTCTAATTATCTATCTTTTGATACCAATTCATGCCTCTGTAAGGCGACCTGGAACCTCTACTTATGTCATAGTAATTGTTATTTTGCTTAGGATGTTTCGTTTCTGTACATGGGAAGGTTGTTGGAAGGATTTGGTGTGGGAATAATATCTTACACAGTAAGTATTAAAACCGCATGTGGTTGCTCTAGAAAATAATTGAGCATGAGAAATCTCTTAATAGGATTTATCTTGTTTTTGTAATTGTAGGTGCCTGTATATATAGCTGAGATAGCTCCTCAAAACTTGAGAGGGGGGCTGGGTTCTGTGAACCAGGTCTGTTGCTTAATAGCCTATTCTTATCCTGTATTTGTGGTGTTACAAACTTTAATTCACTGGCCAATGAGTTGACTTATAGTATTTTTGTGGTGAAGCTCTCTGTCACAATTGGAATACTGCTGGCTTATGTGCTGGGTCTTTTTGTTAATTGGAGAGCACTTGCAGTTCTTGGTAATCTTCTAAAAGACTCAGTTTAGTCTCTTAATACTAATGGATATAATTCTGTTATATGAATTTTTCTTATCCGGATGAGGCAATCTCTGCAGTTTCCTTTAACATCCCCCAGCACACTTTTTGAAATCAATCTTTATAAGAATTTCTCTACAGTGGTAACTCTGCGTAGCTTGATGTTCTTTACTTATTTGTTAATAAGTGAGGGTTGAACTAAAGATGTTATGTAGGGATCTTCATGATGACAAAATTCAGAAAGGACAGTGGTTGACTTTCTAAATGTGCCCGGGATAAGAAGTTTCAATGTCATGTATTAATCTGTCCAAGAGAGCGCAAAATGAAGTTTGTTTCAGTGCTCATTTAGTAAAGAGAATTTCTCAACCCAGGTTTCTCATTGTTTGCCTTAATTACGTTCCAGTTTAAACCTGATTAAAATTAATTTCTTATATTGGCTCTAGCTTTGCAAGACAGCAAGGTCAAGTTGGGTTGAGATTTTTCTTTTTAATCATTCTTTCATTTTTATATTTTTTTGTTTTTGTTCTATATTTGGGGGGAAGGGGTTGGGGTGAGGACTACAAAGGAAGAGATACATATATAGGCACAGGCATATAGATGAGAAGAGAAGAGGGAAGAAGAGGGAAGGAAAGTTTAAAGGGATGGTTTTGTCTTAAACATATTTGGGTCTTAATGTTCGTCGCGAAAATTGAAAAAAAAAAAAGAAATAAGTAAAGGAAGGAATTTTTTTAAGGTTTATCAAGATTGACAATAACTGTCCCATATATTAGCTAAAACTGCAGCATATACTGAATGCAGGAGCCTAACTGCATCACACCTGACAATTTAACTCATCAGACTAAGAAACCATTGTAAAACTTGAACTGATGGCTCAATGGAGCTATTCATGAAACAAAATCCATCTTTCTTTCGCAGGAATTTTACCATGTCTAGCATTGATACCTGGCTTATTTTTTATTCCAGAATCTCCTCGGTGGCTGGTAAGCTTTAGTTTGCTCCCATGTTCATTGTTTATCTTTTTGTTATAGACACTATTCAAGCAAATTTTCTTCACTAACTCCAGGCAAAAATGGGGAAGACGGAAGATTTTGAAACTTCTTTGCAAGTTCTCCGGGGGTTTGATGCTGATATTTCCACTGAAGTAAATGAAATTAAGGTAAAACTCATTGATTAAATGGTATTGAAATACCACCACTTAAACTGCTTCAACTCAACTGCATTTAGAACAATGTAATATGCGCCACTTGTACACATTTTCCTGCTAAAAATTTCCATGTATGAACTAGTGTCTTTATGATCCCTTTCTACGATTTACACTTCACAATGGTTGTTTTCCTTGCGTTTTGTAGATGTTCTTATTGAAAAATTTTGGAATGTGCAGAGGTCCGTAGCATCAAGCAGCAGAAGAGCTACAATCCAATTTTCAGACCTTAAACAAAGAAGATATTGGTTTCCACTTATGGTATTAACTGTTGCAGCTTTAGTTTTCTTACATTTGTGTTATGCTTTCATTCTTGAACCTAACAAATCAACAGGACTAGTTGCTCTGTGTCATCTTATGTCCTGCAGATAGGAATTGGATTGCTTGTCCTGCAACAGCTAACTGGAACTAATGCTGTTCTCTTCTATTCCAGTACCATTTTTGAAACTGCTGGTAAGTATAAACTGGTTAGTTAGCTCATGCATCTACATTTTTGGGTAAGGTGACCTGAATCATGAAAGTATCATATTGCAGTCTACTTTCTCACTTTCTTTTGACCACTTGGAGTATCGTGTTTGTAAATTTTCCTCTAGTGTTGGACATGCAATTGAAACTGCATTCTTATTGGTTATGGTTGTGTCATCAGAAGATTGGAGCAAAACTTTGTGAAATTGCTAGTTGCTTCTAGCTACTATTTTTGTTTCTCTTGTAAATGGTAGTCTTTTGTTACACTGGTATTGTTGAACAAATTAACATCTTATCCTGATTCAATATTGACAACATGCTGGTTATATATTTTACTCTCACGTAGATTGTGTGTTGATTTTTTCTGTTAAAGTTTGATGGCTTTAATCAGTTGCCTTAAATTTGAACAGGGATTTCATCAAGTAATATTGCTACTTGTGGGCTTGGTGCTGTCCAGGTAAGGCTTATTATTTGAAAAACCATTTCCTCGAGTCCAATACAAATTCTAATATTGCTTGAGAATTTTTTTTTTTCTCAAATCGTCAACAACAATTTATGTACTATTTAGGTCATTGCAACTGCAGTTGCTACATGGTTGGTTGACAAAACAGGCCGTAGACTTCTGCTCATTGTGAGTTTGTGCAGAATAATCTTCTGTTATGTTCTGTAAGTCATTATGTCATTTGTCTAAAGAAAATGGAAAATGTTGGATCTTTTGTTGCAGGTGTCCTCCTGTGGAATGACTCTTAGTCTCCTAGTCGTCTCGGTTTCCTTCTTTTTGAAGGTAGTATCTCAATGTAGTTTGCTAATCAGCATTACTTATGGAAACCAATATTCAAAGATTTATGATTTCTTCTGTGAATAGCACTCCTTAAAGATTTTTTGCTTACATTTTAAACTCAATTTCAGGACTTTGTATCTGATGATTCTACCTTCTATAATGTATTGAGCATCCTGTCGGTAGTTGGAGTTGTGGTATGTCTTTATAACCATTACACGAATATGTGGTGATTTTTATTGATTTTTTCTTGCTCATGTATCCTTGTTTTTCTGACTCTTCTTATCAGAGCATGATAATTGCCTTTTCTCTTGCAATGGGACCGATTCCTTGGCTTATAATGTCTGAGGTACCCATATTTGAATTACAATGTAACTTCAAATATTTTCAGTGAATTTGCTCTCTTGATCAAAATAACCGCAGCTAAATGTCAAATATTTTTCCACTCTCTCTCCCCACCACTTTTATTTATTTCCTTTCTTGCTGGGACTTGCACCACCTGTTAACAAATTGCTAACTTTCCAATACCTCATCTTCTAGTAAGAACTCTTTCCAAATGGCAAGTTCTCCATAATTCAAAACCTGCAATAGGTTTGTTCTTAGGAAGTTGAGTCCTGAAATCAGAGGTCTGAACTCCATGTTATGATAACCATGGCTAAATTTCTTACGTATAAGTTTCAAGCTCTTTACTTAATACGTATCGTGTTTGTATTTGTATTCCATTAGCAACTAGTTGCAGAAGGTTTTATTTTGAATGCTCAGCTCCCATTTTCGAAATCACACCTTTAAATGTCTCTTACATGTAATCATGTATTTGCCATTACCTACTCATCGTCTAATAGGAACCATGCAGCTGTTTGTAACAAAATTTATTGCACGAATTCATGTCTCTTATATATAATCATGTGTTTGCCATTACCTACCCATCTTCTAATTGGAACCATGCAGCTGTTTGTAAGAAAATTTATTGCACGAAGTCACTTCATAAGTTGCATCTGCTATGAAACGCCAATTCATTCCAGAATTTGAGCTTAGCTTTCTGCAATTAACCCTGTGGCTCATGCCTTCTTGTACCTGTCAATGCAGATTCTCCCAGTACAAATTAAAGGCCTTGCTGGAAGTGTAGCAACTCTAGCAAACTGGTTCTTTTCTTGGCTAATTACGATGACTGCAAATTTGCTTTTGACTTGGAGCGCCGGAGGTCTCTCTCTCTCTTTCTCTCTCTCTATGCATACATACATAGATTGATATACGACATCACACGCGTGCACACTCCACACAAACATGCACCCACACTTGCTCACACCAAGAGTACAAGCTGTGCAATGTGCAAGGTCATACTGATGCTTTGGGTGTTAAATGCGGAGTTTTGACATTTGAGTTGTTGATTGATAGATTTATCTTATTATGAGTATCATCATTTTTATCGGTTTCTGACTAATTAGTTCTTCATCTTTAACAGGAACCTTTTTTCTTTACATGCTTATGTGCGCTTTCACCGTCGTGTTTGTGACCATTTGGGTGCCTGAGACAAAGGGCAAAACCTTGGAAGAAATTCAGTGGTCCTTCAGATAATTTTTTCCCCCACCTTAAACTAAATTTGTCCTTTTTTTTTTTTTTTTTTTGCCCTTTTCTTTTCCATTTTGTCATGATGTTGTCATCATCGGTGTTGGAAGAAGTGAATTTTTGCATTTCCAATTTTGCAATATCGACACGGAGTACACACGATCTTTTTTCCCAGTGCCTTGAGTTCCTATGCTTGTATTGTTGATCGGCTTTACGAATTCTTTGTATGAATACTGGAATAATGTATGTCCAACTCTAGTTGTAATGAATTTTGAGATGAATGCTATAACTAGGGTTCCAAGTTGGGCAGGCTCAATCCAGCCGGTCCCAATCCAAACTCAACTCGAAGTTGGGTTGGGCTGGGCCAACCCGATGTCACCCCAGCTTTGGGCTTTCAACCCAAATCCAAAAAAAAAAATCGGACAGGGCGAGTTGACCCATTCAACCCGTCTTCTTTTTTTTTTTTGTAAATATGAATTTTAGTAACAAGCGACGTAGGAATCACTTAAATTTTATTTTTGAAATTCATTCCTGTAAGAATATATAAATTGTGTTATTACATGTGCTTAATTGAAAAATAACTTAAATTATTGAGATAATACTAAAATGAGTTATTAAACAGCAATTAATTTAATTAGGTTTCACCACTCTTTGATCACCGGCCCTGGTTCTGAAGTGATACTACGTATATATGCTTACATATTATGCATAAATATTTGTGTATATATGTAGGGCCTGACCTATATATATATATATATATTGATACAGGGACCATCGCCGTCTCAAACCTTTTTAAAAAATCCTATTTATAAAGATCTAAAATAGTTGAAATTAAATATCAGGGCCGACCTTTAAGCTTTACTTTTAGAAATCCATGTTTATTAAAAAAAAAAGAAAAATGCTAATATAAACCATAATTTTTTATCTTCTCCTTATATTATTTTTATTTTATTTTATTTTTTTCTTTAGATTTAAATACATATTATATGTTAAATTTAGATATATATTTTTATGCACGGACCGCATGTCCGCATGGTTATAACAATAGTATAATATAATTTATTTATTCTTAAAATTTTACTTTCATACTACTAGTTCGTCCTCCTAAATATAAATTTCACAGTCGCCCTTGCATATATGTTGTGTATATTTATACATATACCTTTACATTTATATACCCATTCAGGAATTAATTTAAATGTTGGCTTGGGATGGGGAGTGCCGGCAGCAGAATTGTAGCTTATTCCATTATTCATATTAACAAATATATTATGTCTAAGTGATGCAATTTTTAATCATTGTACGATTAACAGCAATGTTGATTTAAAAAAAAAAAAAAAAAAAAAATCCCAACGGATTTGGAAGTTTTAAAAATAAAAAATAAAAAATAATTTGGGTTTTGGAACCCGAGCCCGACCCAAACATGGTTGGGTTTTGAGAAAACCCAATCCGATTTGAGCCAATTTGTGAATTTCAAAGCCCAAGTTCCAAAAGTTTTGGGTTGAGTTCAGGTTGGGCCAGGTTGGCCCGCCCAAGTTGTACCCCTAGTGTTACAAGGGGAGACTTGTCTCACATCGAATCCAGATGGGAAGTGACATGGGTATAAATGGGTAGGTATGCAACATTACCCAACAGTTTGAGCTTTTGGGTAAATGGGTAAGAGCCCACCCTCTATAGTTGGTATCAGAGTTAGACCCAATCCTTGATCCGGTATCACGCAAAGCGCCCGGCCCGGAGGGCATCCGGGTCTTCACCCCGAGTAGGCAAGGTGGTCCGACCGCAACGAAGGTGTTACGTGGGTTCGAGTGAGGGAGAATATTACAAAGGGAGACTTGTTCTACATCGGATCCAGATGAAAAATGACATGGGTATAAATGAGTGGGTATGCAACACTACCTAACTGTTAGAATTTGTGAATGTAAATTGTTTGATTAGTCATCAATAGATGTCTTTTACCGAACAGATGTGATTACTGGTTGGTTGTGGGATGAAAAGATGTAACTTAAAATGAACAGACATAACCTATTGGAGTGGATGTGTCTAGTACTGGTGAACAGACACCATGTGAACCATTGCAACCTATTGGAGTAGATGTGTCTAGTGGCGAATAGACATCATGTGAAACATTCCAACCAATTGGAGTGGTTGTATCCGATGATAAAGAGACACATATAAATAATTGTGTCCGATGATGAAGAGGCACATAGACACATATAAATGGTTGTGTCCAGTAATGAAAAGACACATATAAATGGTTGTGTCCAATGATGAAGAGACACACCTAATTCGAAAAGGCACTTCTATTTTGATAAAGACCCCTTGGGCTGCCATTTGCAATTCGTTCAATTCAATTTTTTCTCTCTCCCTGTTTAGACTTGAACTCAACCCAAATGGGTTCAAACCATAGGTCAAGTGGTCTGAGCCACTTAGACCCTAATCCAATTTCATCGAACCATATTAAGATTGGTCCAAACCATTTGGTTCGGATTACATCCAATTTAGCATTTATATAATATAGATGCATTTTTGAGTCAGAGAGAGTATTACACGGAGGAGGTTCGCCGTATCTACGAGTTTGTAGTGTTACTACTGGTGGATATAGACCGTTGTATCCTGGGAGATAGACGCCACTGAGTCCGTTAGCACCATAGCGAGGCGAATCTGTCTTAAGGATATAGTATTCAATACTAGCCTCGGTCCAGGTTATTTATTTATTATTTATTAATTTATTACTTTATTTTACATATTTAATTAAATATATAGTTGCATATTTAATTAATCATTACTTAGCATATTGTTAACTATCTCATATCATATTAGTATAGGGGTTGTTATATCTTAAATGTCACATGAAGCATATATTTTACCAACAATCTTAAGACAGAATTACTCCTTGCATATGTTTTATTATATGCTTCAATATAAGATATAAACAAGTAGAACTTATACTAATAAATGAGATATAATAACATAATGTTATATACATTATTATATGAAAATATGTTAAATATTGATGTGTTCAATATTATATGAAATTGAAGCATATTATATTAGTAAATTATTGAATTATTTATATAATTCAATAATTGTTGAATTATTTTAATTTTGTAATATGATATTATGTAGTATATTATATTACCTTAAACATGTGCCAACTAGAGGTTGAAAAAGATATTTTGTTATTTTCATCTATGATATATTATATCAGATGATGTTATGTATATTTGTTACGAAGTAAAGATAAAGTCTTAAAAATGTTTAAATATTACAAAAATGAGATTGAGAATCAACTTGGCAAAAAGATCAAGGTATTAAGAAGTGACAGAGGTAGTGAATACGAAGCACCATCCATTGACATTTGTTCAGAACATGGCATTATTCACCAAACTATCACTCCTTATTCACCTCAATGGAACGGTGTTGCTGAATGCAACAACCATTCTTTAAAAGAAATGATGAATATTATATTGATAAGTTCTGGTTTAATCCACAATTTGGAGGGGAGGGGGGGACTTTGCTTTACAAAAGAAAACTAATGTGACACCATTTGAATCATAGAAAGGTCGAAAAACCTTCCTATAAATTCTTAAAAATGTGGGGGTGTCTAACTAAGGTTATAGTTCCTACTCCTAAGAAAGTTATAATAGGACCTATAATGTGGTGATCTTGTGAGTGGGTGTGCCGTGGGCGGGTGGAAAAGGCACTGACATGCTACAACACTGAGCGAGCTATAGGTGCACAGTTCCACACCACCTACGTAAGGGAAAGGTGAAGTGATTTTATGTAGTGATGTTATCTCCAATTAATATGAGGCCTTTTGGGATAAAACCAAATAACAAAATCATGCGAGCTCGATCCCAAAGCGGACAAAATCATACCATATGGTGGAGTGAATCGTTACATAAAACCTTTGATAGATTATGCTCATAACAGTACTGCATATCATTTTCTTATGCATAAATCTTACAATGATCAAAAATAAGGATGAGCTTAAACGTAGCAACAAGGCTAGAACATCTAAATCTTTTGGTCCTGGTTTACAAAAGAAAACTAATGTGACACCATATGAATCATAGAAAGGTCGAAAAACCTTCCTATAAATTCTTTAAAATGCGGGGGTGTCTAACTAAGGTTGTAGTTCCTACTCCTAAGAAAGTTATAATAGGACCTATAATGTGGTGATCATGTGAGTGGGTGTGCCGTGGGCGGGTGGAAGAGGCACTGACATTCTATAACACTGAGCAAGCTACAGGTGCACAGTCCCACACCACCTACGTAAGGGAAAGGTGAAGTGATTTTATGTAGTGGTGTTATCTCCAATTAATATGAAGCATTTTGGGATAAAACCAAATAACAAAATCATGCGAGCTCGATCCCAAAGCGGACAAAATCATACCATATGGTGAAGTGAATCGTTACATAAAACCTTTGATAGGTTATGCTCATAACAGTACTGCATATCATTTTCTTATGCATAAATCTTACAATGATCGAAAATAAGGATGAGCTTAGACGTAGCAACAGGGCTAGAACATCTAAATCTTTTGGTCCTGGTTTTTTAGCATGTTTATTGGAGAATGAGCCACAAAGCTTTTTTCTTAAATTAATTATGTGATATAATTAATCATATAATATAATATTATTTATGTGAGTTCAATATTATTTATATAAGTGCTTACTTTTATTTGAGATTATAATATTGAGCTATGTAGTTAAATTATTTAGTGTGCATAGTAATTCAATTTTATAATATAGTTTATTTAATGTGTGATATTATTGATTTTGTATGAGGTCATGACTGATTTGTGTATTTAATACAACAAACAAAAATTGACTAGTCTAGCTATGTCAATTCTCCCGATAGTCAAAGGAAAAAGATCTATATTAGTGTTTAAAGACACGTATAGCTATGAATGGGCTGAATAAGAGAAGATTTTTCGACAACTCTAAAAAGTTTAATCAAAAATCTTATGAATACACTAAGCAAGTATACCGAGACAAGCTAAATCAAGCTAGTTAGCTCTAATGTACAATTTAGCCAAAAGCTAAAATGTTACTAAGTTGCAAACTAGTTAGCTTAGTTATAAGCTAAAATAATTAATGAGGTGCACAGAACCTAAGAGGAAGATGAAAATCTGTTAATTGGTTCTAGCTCTCAACTTGGTAGTAAAAAAAAAAACACGAGGGTGATGAGTAGCTATTTTAGCCATAAGTTATTTGAGCTATACATCATATCTGCTCATGTAAAAGGGAATAATATTGCTTGTAAAGTAGT